CAACGTACTCCTTTTCACAGTGTAATACTACAGAACAAACATATAGCTACCAGCTACATATACTGTATGCAAATATATATATATATATGTTCGTGACTGGCGAACTAGTAATGTTTCACTATGTTTGATCCATGCTCAAAGGGCACAAATTTTGGCAATATCCAGCTGCTATTTGCAGGAGCAAGACTGAGAATGGTGTGGAGCCGGCCCTTTGGGGTAAACACGTGCCCATGCAAGCTGGAATTTACGAATCGTGGCGATTCTTGACTGCAGCCCGAAGCACAAGACATGCTGCTGTAACAGTGCCAACGACCTCCCTTTGTTGTGACGACACAGGACAAAATCATGCGATCAGTTTTGCATGTCAACTAGTCATGTGACTTGAGATCTTCTTGATCAAGATTTGAGAGATAAAGCAGTTGTGTTGCATCACTAGTTGGTCGAAAACGAGACATCATCCATAGCTGGAAGTTGATGAACAAGATCAGCTCTGGATCGTCGTCATTTGGGTCGAGGAATACAGAGAACTCTCGACAATTCGCAGTTGCGCCCCTTGACCATTTAATCTGCTTCAGAAAAAGAGAAACATTGGACACTTGGAGCCGCGGTAGTCTTGCAACTCATTGTTTTGCAGGGTCTGTCTTAGTGCCATCCCAAAGGATATTTTTCACAAAAATTCTGTGGAAATCTTCCTGTTTTTTCGTATGTGACCCCGGAAGCCAAGGAACGTGATTGAGGTCAACAATGACACCTTTCGACACCATCACCGCAGGGATGCTTAGCACAGACTTGTCACCAGTCACCGGAGTTTTCCTGAGATCACGTTCTTTATTTGCCAGCTTTCACCATTGCATTGTTTTGGATGGGTGGATTGTTTTCCGAAAAAAGGACCTGAAGCTTTGAAAAACAACCGAGGCTTGAAGTTGTCCTACATGTCCACGACAATGCCTGAGCACATCGATGCAACCTTATCAGGCGAGTCATGCCATCTTTTGGTTCAAAATGACGGATGATTGATTAAGGGAAATGACGATGCCAATGAATGGTGATATACATTGATATACTGCATTTGGATGCATTTGGTGTGATTTCAATACTGTATATTTGGTTCATTTCTCCGCAAAAACGTGATGACGGAGAAAGCAAAAACGATGAAGCCAGCATGTGAGATCTGAGCCAAGCAATGTGTGCCAGCAGGATTGCAGCTACAATTAGTGAGAACACTGTTACAGGAAGAGATAGACAGCAGCAGCCTTATCAAAAAAGTATCTTCTCGACATATTGCATCTATTTGCGGAAGGCTTTGCTGCTTTGAGCAAGCAACCTGCTGATTTCGGGATGCCCGTTGCTGAAGGAGTGGAGGAGGCAAGGCAACCGTTTCAAACATGGGGTCCAAAGGATGACTATTTCTGTTCCATCACTTGTTGAGGGTGCAGAAGAAGAGTTTGCGACTCAGTTGATCAGCTTCCTGAGCCTTTGCCTCGTACATTTGACCTTCATCCCAGATGAACATAATTAGATGAACCACAGTTGTTCCTCATGAAAACACTATGACAAGGTCGCTGCATCGCTTGTGCCCCCAAAATTTTCTCGCTTGTGCCCCCGTTTTTTTCTCGCTTGTGCCCCTCGTAGAAGGTAAAGTAGTTACTACTACTGTACTTCTTCTACTACTTCTACTTCTACTTCTTCTACTTCTACTACTTCTACTTCTACTTCTTCTACTTCTACTACTTCTACTTCTACTACTTCTACTTCTACTACTTCTACTTCTACTACTTCTACTTCTACTACTTCTACTTCTACTACTTCTACTTCTACTACTTCTACTACTTCTTCTACTTCTACTACTTCTACTACTTCTACTACTACTACTACCACCACTAGTACCACTACTGCTACTACTACTACTACAACTACTACTACAACTACAACTACAACAACAACAACAACTACTACTACTACCACTACTGCTACTACTACTGCTACTGCTACTGCTACTGCTACTGCTACTACTACTACGAGGACGACAAAGACGACGACGACGACGACGACTACTACTACTACATCATGGCATTGTGGAAGGCAAGGGGGTGAAGTTTAAATAAAGAGGTAGAATTTAGATGATGGCATTGTGGAAGGCAAGGGGGTGAAGTTTAAATAAAGAGGTAGAATTTAGATGATGGCATTGTGGAAGGCAAGGGGGGGGAAGTTTAAATAAAGAGTTAGATTTTAGATGATGGCATTGTGGAAGGCAAGGGGGGGGAAGTTTAAATAAAGAGTTAGATTTTAGATGATGGCATTGTGGAAGGCCGGGGAGGGGGAAGTTTAAATAAAGAGGAAAGTTGAAATACAGAGGTAGATTTTAGATGAGGGCATTGTGGAAGGCAAGGGGGGGTAAAGTTTAAATAAAGAGTTAGATTTTAGATCATGACAGTGTGGAAGGCAAGGAGGGGGGAAGTTTAAATAAAGAGGTAGATTTTAGATCATGGCATTGTGGAAGGCCACGGGGAGGGAAGTTTAAATAAAGAGGAAACTTTTAATAAAGAGGTAGATTTTAGATGATGGCATTGTGGAAGGCCCGGGGGGGAAGTTTAAATAAAGAGGTAGATTTTAGATCATGGCATTGTGGAAGGCAAGGGGGGGGAAGTTTAAATAAAGAGGAAAGTTTAAATAAAGAGATAGATTTTAGATCATGGCATTGTGGAAGGCAAGGGCGGGGGAAGCTTAAATAAAGAGTTAGATTTTAGGTGATGGCATTGTGGAAGGCAAGGGGGGGTAAAGTTTAAATAAAGAGCTAGATTTTAGATGATGGCATTGTGGAAGGCAAACCGGGTAAAGTTTAAATAAACAGGTATATTTTGATGATGGCATTGTGGAAGGCAACCGGGGGGAAAGTTTAAATAAAGAGTTAGATTTTAGATGATGGCATTGTGGAAGGCAAGGGGGAGTAAAGTCTAAATAAAGAGTTAGATTTTAGATGATGGCATTGTGGAAGGCAAGGCGGGGGGAAGTTTAAATAAAGAGTTAGATTTTAGACGATGGCATTGTGGAAGGCAAGGCGGGGGAAAGTTTAAATAAAGAGTTAGATTTTAGATCATGGCAGTGTGGAAGGCAAGGGGGTGAAGTTTAAATAAAGAGGTAGAATTTAGATGATGGCATTGTGGAAGGCAAGGGGGGGGAAGTTTAAATAAAGAGTTAGATTTTAGATGATGGCATTGTGGAAGGCAAGGGGGGGGAAGTTTAAATAAAGAGTTAGATTTTAGATCATGGCATTGTGGAAGGCAAGGGGGGGGGAAGTTTAAATAAAGAGGTAGATTTTAGATCATGGCATTGTGGAAGGCCACGGGGAGGGAAGTTTAAATAAAGAGGAAAGTTTTAATAAAGAGGTAGATTTTGGATGATGGCATTGTGGAAGGCCAGGGGGCGCAAGTGAGTCGAGAGGGGGGCGCCAGTGAGTATTTTGGGGCGTAAGTGAGACGAGGGGGTCGCAAGTGAGTAAGGGGCACAAGGGAGAAAAATCTGGGGGCGCAAGTGAGTAGTTTACCCTATGAAAACATATGAAAACGAGATTGAAAAATGAGAGACCCACATGTTTGGATATACCCATGTGATCCCATTTGGAACCATGACCCCAGCGCTCAGCCCAGGCATGAAGAGGGCTTGCAGCTCATTGTTTTGCAGGATCTGTCTTAGTGCCATCCCAAAGCATTTTTTGAGCAGAAAGGGACGCCACCAGGGCCCACAAATCACATACTTGCATTTTTGCTGATTTTTAGTTATTTCCCACAACTTTGTGTGGGGTTCTTGTTTTTGATTCTGTATCCCGGGCTCCTTCTCCTCCTCCTCCCGCCGCCTCCCTCACACACACAAACTTAACATACAATAACTTCACACACACAAACTTAACATACAATAATTTCACATACAATACTTTCACACACACACAAACTTAACATACAATAACTTCACACACACAAACTTAACATACAATAATTTCACACTAACTTCACACACACAAACTTAACATACAATAATTTCACATACAAGACTTTCCCACACACACACACACACTCACACACACACAACTTTGTCACATACCATCTCTCACATACAATAACTTCACACACACAAACTTAACATACAATAATTTCACATACAATACTTTCGCACACACAACACACACACAACTTTGTCACATACCATCTCTCACATACAATAACTTCACATACACAAACTTAACATACAATAATTTCACATACAATACTTTCGCACACACAACTTTCACACACACACTTGCTCAGAAATATCTTATCGAATTACTGATGTGGAATGCATCGCACGTGCAAAAACACTTCAGTTAAACCTGACAGGAACGATTTGGATGATTGGAAATGAGAAACTGTGCGAAGGAAATCTTTCTACGTCCTTGCTCGAAGGATCTATTGGTTCTGATGCAGCTCAAACCTTCATGATTGACCGTATACTGTTCCAGATTGCCGCAACAGTGCAGAAAAGAACTGAAAATCGAATCGACTTGCCGGTTCTAGGCTTGGCCGGTTGCCATGACGGAAAACGGAATGGAAATAAAACAGAATTGAAATAGCAGGTACACAGAGTTGATCAGACTCTGCTTCCAGCACAAGTGGATAGCTTCGTTGGGTGCAGTCTCCACTGTGCTCTGCACCCCCCTGCTGTAACAAGTTGATAAATGATACCAAAACGAAGTTCTCAAAAAACACGAAACAAGCAAATTAGAAGTTTTACATCTTTTCAGATGTTCCACACACACGCCTCGCTTCCGCGAGGCTGGTTTTTTTGGCAACTGCGGGATTGGTAGCGAAGCTCTTATTTGGGCCCTGAAGCAGGATATAGCGATTAACGCAAAATCAAAATACAGGGTATATATAGTATATATATAGTATATATATATACTATATATATACTATATATACTATATATATATATCATATTTGTTATATATCCAAGAGCTTGGCGTCGAGGCCAACATCCAGCAGGGCCCGTAGTGGTGGATTGGGATATGGACGGCGAATACGAGCTGCTCTTATCGGTTGCAGGTGGATTTCCAATGCCGTTGGGATTTTGGAACGAGATTTTGGAAGGAATTTGAAGAGTATTTGATTTATGGATGTCGAATGGATGTTAAATGGATTTGAATTTGAGACGTTTCCATTCATGGATGGGAAAACCCCTGATGATTTCCACGATTTCCGCGCATTTCTTTTGATTGATTCTTGTTAGAAGAGTCAACGCTCCAGGCCGCATACGTTACTTCAAACAGAAAGCGGGTGAGCTGGTGGAACAGAAGGGGAAGGACAACCCCTTTGACAATATCACATTTAGTGCCTTGGTGTCAAACACTAAACGCTACGCGGAAAATTGCAAGTTTGGTGTATAATTCAGCACAGGTGTTATTGGCTACTTGTAATGGTGTATGCATTATGGACCACTTCACAGTCCCAGATATCTGGCACTTGATATGACCGCAGTCCTGTTTCCGTGGCACTTGATATTCTGGCCATGGCCTTGAAACGTTGGTGCATGTTCGCCCTTGCCTGAAGGGTTGGCCCTCTTGTACGTTGCTTCATGAGGATCATCAGTCAAACATCCTTGTTGCTGATCGGACACCATATTTTGGTTTATGAATTTGTCCAGTTTTGATGGATATGATAAACTAAATATAACTCATAAAACAATTTTGCTGATAATCATATTCATATTCATAGCTTAGAATTCTGATGCGTTTTTGACTGAACCGTTCTCGGCAGCAGGTAGCGTTGCACCACGTGTCGCTGCAGCAGACTGGGATGGCGATGGAGATATGGATTTGATCCTGCCGAGGGGCAGGTTGGGGGATGAGCCAATGGGCCGGTCTGTGAAGGTCTATGAAATTCACTGGGTTGTTGCCAACTTGATATAGTTTGTACCTGTGCAGCCTGTGCAGCCTGTGCACCTGCCCCAGGGGATTGGCCTATTTTGAACAAGTTGATGGAAAGTTGGTGGAACGCGAAGGTGGAGCGAATCCGTTTATGAATGCCACTTGCCGACAATTTCAACATATTTCAACATTGAAACACTAGTACTTCATGAGACATGTGACAAAAAAGGCCAGCCGAAAGCATGTCACACCAAGCATGTCCATCATGTTGCTGGTTCTTCGGGGTTCACAGCTTCACCGTACCAGAAAGCAGTGCCAGAAAAGTGAGCATATAAATTGTAGATGGGAGTTTCCACAAATGGGGGATCCCAAAATGGATGGTTTTTAATGGTAAATCCTCTAAAAATGGATGATTCAGGGGCACCCCAATTTTAGGAAACTTCCATAACCTTTTGCAAATATAGACATGTAAGCCATCGCCCGGGGGCTTTTGACAGTTGGACAAGAAATCAGAGAACGCAATTCACCTGTCACTGGAGGGTAGAAATGAATATCAAAGGACATTTGTAGATGACCTGGTGGGGAGATATGTGCAAATATCATAACACATCCCCTCCGGTGTCATCAAACATATTACGGTAATTGGATGAAATCCATAAATCTGTGGATTTACCATGATTTATCCAATGGGTTTGTTGGTGGTTTGTGAATGGTTTGTCGAATCACGGGGTATCCCCCTTCCATTCAATTTTTTGGGGCGCCGGAGCATTTTTGCACTGCCAATATTGATTTGGGATCCATCCAGGGAAGATTTACCGGAAACCCGCATGGTTAAAACAATAGTAGATATCAAGTAAAGCCCCCTGTTGCAATTGTAAACGTTCCCTGAACCCAACCCAATGACATTCGAAACGCAATCAAACTATATCAAGCTAAGCTATGTCCTGTACTCGCGCTTTATATCCTTCATTATATCCTTTAGCATCCTTTAACAATCCGATGGCCATTGGTTTCCTAGGTCAAAGGCGCCTACATTGACAATGCCCGGGGTTGGGATGGCACCTACGGTGCTCCTTTCGCAGTGGACTGGGATGATGATGGTTTCTCGGCAGGTTGGACAATAATGGCCCTTTGATGAAATTTGGCTGGTTCTTAGTGCCAGATTTTGGGGTGTGAAACTTGTGGATCGACAATTAATATTCCAAGAATCCCAAACCCCACCGTCAGTTTGCGATGTAACAGAAACCAAGGTGACCTGGAATCTTGGCTGATTCGTGCGGGGCAGAGGCACGATGCCATGCGATTCGGAACGACGATTTGCAACGATTTGAATGCGACCTAAGAAAAAATAAACATATGGGATGTTCCTAAAATGATGAGTACCCAAAACCACGGGTTTCAATACTAAAACGGTTTAATTTTGGATGATTGGGGGGACCCCATGACTTAGCATGTGACATGTGTGACAGCAGCATGTGCAACTCGTTGATTTCCTGTGAGCTATCCCAAGGATCTGATTTATGGACAAGTGGATGGTATCTTTTAGCTGCAGTGAATCTGAAGGGGGGATCTTTTGTGATGGGCAGATGGAACTAGTCGTAGTTTTGTCAGCTCTATGTGTGCAGGGGGTAAAGCAAATGGACCTTCCAATCCCAGCAGGCTATGTGATGTGTCCAATTCACAGAAATCACATGGCAGTGTGTCAAAACCTTGTACCCCTGGTGAACATCAAAATAGCTGGTAAATGGATGTTCATCCCACTAAAAATGGTATTAATAGGTATTGATTCATAGCCACATTTCTATGAACCACTGGTGCCACTGCCGTCATGTTAGCGACTTAAAACAGCGTCGGCTTGAGATGGTTCGATTTGGTGGGGCCAAGGTACAGTGCTCTTCTTTGAGCGTTTGGCCAGCGCACGCCTTGCACAGAGGACTGGCATTGCAAATCCTTTCGGAAGGCGGGCCGTGGAACGGATGCATGTGTCTGGAAAAAAACGTCTGATACCCCCAAAGTGGCAGTTTAACAGGAAAATAATATTGGGGAATCATATATATATAGACATGTATACATATACATACACACATATACATACACACATATACATATACATATACATATACATACACATACATATACATATACATATACATAGAGACATATACATTTACATACACATACATATACATATACATATACATAGAGACATATACATATACATACACATACAGACATACAGACATACAGACATACAGACATACAGACATACAGACATACAGACATACAGACATACAGACATACAGACATACAGACATACAGACCAGACCAGACATACAGACCAGACCAGTCATACAGACCAGACCAGACATACAGACCAGACGTACAGACCAGACGTACAGACCAGACATACAGACCAGACCAGACATACAGACCAGACCAGACCAGACCAGACCAGACATACAGACCAGACCAGACCAGACCAGACCAGACATACAGACCAGACCAGACCTTACCTTACCTTACCTTATCTTACCTTATCTTACCTTACCTTACAGACCAGACCAGACCTTACAGACCAGACCAGACCTTACAGACCAGACCTTACAGACCAGACCAGACCTTACAGACCTTATTACCAGACCTTACAGACCTTGCCAGACCTTACAGACCTTACCAGACCTGACAGACCTTACAGACCTTACCAGACCTGACAGACCTTACAGACCTTGCAGACCTTACAGACCTTACAGACCTTACAGACCTTCCAGACCTTCCAGACCTTAGACCTTACAGACCTTGCAGACCTTACAGACCTTACAGACCTTACAGACCTTAGAGACCGTACATACCTTACAGACCTTACAGACCTTACAGACCTTACAGACCTTACAGACCTTAAAGACCTTACAGACCTTACAGGCCTTACAGACATGACAGGCATGACAGGCATGACAGACATGACAGACATGACAGACATGACAGACATGACAGACATGACAGACATTACATACATTACATACATTACATACGTTACATACATTACATCCATTACATCCATTACATCCATTACATGCATTACATGCATTACATGCATTACATGCATTACATGCATTACATACATTACATACATTACATACATTACATACATTACATACATTACATACATTACATACCTTACATACCTTACATACCTTACATACCTTGCATACCTTACATACCTTACATACCTTACATACCTTACATACCTTACATACCTTACATACCTTGCATACCTTACATACCTTACATACCTTACATACCTTACATACCTTACATACCTTACATACCTTACATACCTTGCATACCTTACATACCTTACATACCTTACATACCTTACATACCTTACATACCTTACATACCTTACATACCTTAAATACCTTACATACCTTACCTACCTTACCTACCTTACCTATCTTACCTACCCTAGCCTACCCTACCCTACCCACCTACCTACCTACCTACCTTCCTATACCTACCTACCTACCTACCTACCTACGTACGTACGTACGTACGTACGTACCTACGTACGTACATGCGTACATACGCACATACGTACATACGCACATACGTACGTACGTATGTACATACACACATACATACATACATACATACATACATACATACATACATACATACATGACATGACATGACATGACATGACATGACATGACATGACATGACATGACATGACATGACATGACATGACAAAACATTACATTACATTACATTACATACATCCATCCATCCATCCATGCATGCCTGCATGCATGCATGACATACTGACATACTGACATACTGACATACTGACATACTGACATACTGACATACTGACATACTGACATACTGACATACTGACATACTGACATACATACATACTGACATACTGACATACTGACATACTGACATACTGACATACTGACATACTGACATACTGACATACTGACATACTGACATACATACATACTGACATACTGACATACATACATACATACATATATACATATATGTATATATATAGACCATCAAAGCCATTTTGGATAAACCATTGGATAAACCATTGGTAGTTTTCATGAACCCGTTTGGGTGTCACCAATCCATGTGTGTTTGTTTAATGCGTATAGCCATTGTCCTTGGAATTCCTACCAAGCATGATATAATAGGGATTGATGCACCCATTCTGTTTGGACTCCCATTTTTTATGGGATGGATGACCATAAACATCCATAAACCAAAAAGAACCATATCTTGACATGGCCCAAATCCATGGATGGCACATCTTTTTCAATCCATGGCACATCCATGGCCCAGCCCCCCGCGGCCGAGGATACAGGTGGGTCACTACGCGGCGGTCCAGGCGGTTGACTACAATGGTGACGGCCTGGTGGACGTGATCGCGGGAAATCAGGAGCACGAGCAAAAACACCGGTGAGACGTTTGGAGAAGTGGCTGAAGTTACATTTTGTGGTTGGATAACATAGGAGATCTATGGTAATCTATGCTAATCTATGGTAATCTATGGTATAAACTGAACCAAAATATAAACTATGGTGCAATCTATGGTACAAGTTGACCATTTATCGGTGTGGCTATGGGATGTCTATGCCATGACTGCGGTGAACTATGGCTATGAAATAACTATTTCTAAGAATGGGTATATAGGGGTATGGGAAGAACGATCAAACCTTCCAAACGGATGGTTTCAGAATGTTTCAGATCCCCAACATGACAATCATTGTGTCTATTGGAACCCAGTTTCGACCCATAACGATACCCATTAGATTTCAGATTTTCCACAGCTCTGATGAAGTTAGGGAACAGAGCGTTTTTGCGCAAGCAAATGGATTCGATGAAGATGCCAGATGCTGTACTGTAGTGCAAGTCCTGAGTGACTGCCAACTAGTTGAAATAGAAGGCTGACAGGACCGCACAAATTTGGTGCTGCGTGGTATCAAGCCAGATGAGTTTTGAGAGTCCGAAATTTGTTCTCTATCCCCATCATTCCCCATCTACAAATATATGCGGTGGCCGCATCCGCAGGATGGAAAAGTCGCACTCTTCGCTCGTGTGCGAGATGTTCGACTACAAGAGAGGAAGGGCATTGCCAATCCGTTTTACGACATAGGCGATGGGGCCAGGGCGGCCAGGGGTTGTGCCCTAACTATGGCATATTACGATATATTACGGCTGAACATGCCACCAATGCCACCAATGCCACCAATGCCACTGGGGATCACTGGGGCAACTTGGACGCCGGGATGTGTCAGATGGGACCTGTAGGCCCTTTGAAAAATGCGGTGCCATCCACGCCTTTGATGGATGAGATGGGCGCTTTATATTTCATGCTGCTTGGCAGAGGAAGTTTGCTTTGGCTTCCTCTCAATGATAATGTGTTTATCCTCTTTTGACTTTGAAAAACTGTTACATCTTAAAAAGTACATGTTTGATTCCTTTTATCCCTTTCAACATGTTGAAAGTATACTGCCCGACTTCAGTGGATTGACCGGGTTCCATAGCAATTCGCCTGAAGCTCCACGTGGTTTTCAGCTCGAGACCTGGGCTCAACGGGCTCCCAGGTTTCAGGAAACCAACGTGGGACGGGTTGAACTCTTTAAACGCCTCGAAGATGGCAGCGCCTTGGCTTTCGGGGTAGTTTTGGGCAAACCAACAGGATGATTGGGAGGGTTACCCGGTAAGGTTGACAACATCGCAATAGAACGTATCCCACGTGAAAATAGATGCATCAGCATAATCAGCTATTGGACATGGGCATGTTCCGTTCCCAACCAGAGGGCAGTATCAGTGATTCAGTAAGCGCTGAGGTTTTCAAAATCTCACCCAAGCACGACCACCGGCAGTGGCTGCTACTGCCGTATGGTTGCAAGCAGGCCGTGGCCGGGCGGCATGGGGGAACTGGAGCCAATCGACTTCTACATTCTACATACTGTACTGGGAAATATGAAATTCCATGGAGTTGGGAGTTCAAAATGGTTGACCCCGCAAAAAAAACAATACATATTGTCTACAAATGTAGCAGCAAAATCAAGGAACTTGTATACTCTATTCCCCTTCGCGTGGTTCTGCTTTGACGCTTCGGCACTCCGTCTCTTGGACTCAAAGAGGTACCCCGAATTCTCACTGGAAACTGGCTGGATGCCAGGCAGAACCCAACTTCTGGACTGGAACGGGGATGGCAAGACTGACAGGTGCGGGGGTGTAGGCTTTTCGGAGGCATCGAGCATGACCACTTTTCGCAGGTCTGAACGACTTGGTTGGAGATTGCCTTGTACGTCGGTGTGTGACAAGATCCCACTGCCACTGTTCCTACATGAAATCGCATTCTTACTGAAACAACTAACCATTTCTGACTCCAACAGCTGCAGAGTGGCATACTGTACCTGGCTCTTGTCATCTGAGATTCTGCCAAAAGGTTGGTTCAAGACTTGTTTCTCTGTTCACAAGTAACTATCGGGATGATTGAGTAGCCTGCTTTTTGAAAGGATGGTTATGGATGACTAAAGGTCGAAAGGCCATCGTCTGGTCATCGTGGTCAACGGCTGCCTAGAAGCTGGCCGCGAGCCTCCCAAGCCCATCAAGCTGCTTGCCATTTTCTGCAGGCCACTGGCACCCCAAAAAAACTCACAGGCTTCGCACCCAAAAGATGCTCTGGGTGATGTTGTGCCCGAAGACGTCTGCTGGAAACAACGTCAGGGCATAGTCTCTAGGGATGCCACGGCTGATGCTGAGATTCGCCCCGCCGGGACATCACAGACCAACGGCAACAACTGCATTGACACCTCCCGAGAAGGTATGGTCTCCATTGCAGAAGTGATTTGGGCAGCCCAGATCGTTAAACCTTTTGCCTGCACTTCATGGTGTACGGGAACTTCCTTCCGCTGTCTGGCTTGGCTTTGAGGGTACCGCGGCCTCTTTGCTTTACTGGCGGATGCACGCTCTTTGCAAGTGGTACTTGCAAAACTTTTTTTGCGGCCCGAGACCGGATTTTCGGTCTGGTTGGTGCCCCACAAAATCTGCACAGCAGCTTCAGCCGATCAATGATCTAGCAGGTTACTGATCGACTGAAGCTGCTTCAGGCCTTGGGCTATTGTGCAGTTTATGTGCAGGGTGCTAAAGTTTGATTCTTCCATTCCACGCCGCTTTTCGCAGGCTGTGAAACAGTCTGGAGTCTGGATGGGTTTTTTATTAGTTGAAACGCATCCGCTGCATCCGGCATACAGCCCAAACAACAGGCTTTCGAGTGTGCAAGGCCCAAGACAAAAACTGTCATTCAGACAGTGGCCCGTTAGGTGGCAAAATGATGCCTGAGGAGCGGTTTGTTTTTTCAAAAAGAGTGTCGTACCATGTCATTTGGGGAATTGGTTAACACATGATGTATTATGATACCATATTCAGGGGGACATATATATATATATACCTACCATATTGAGGAGTGATGAATTTCCTTTTGCCAGCTATTTTGATGTTCACCAGCATACCAGCCGTTTGACCCATAGCCGCTATTTGGCTGTCCCAAAACCAGAAGTCTGCGCGAAGCTGTGCAACGGAAGGTTGACAATCTACCACAATGGAACAGTTGACTACAAGGCCAGCTAATGTTGCGTCTCGACATGCGGCATCTCTGTGGCTATCCAATATGACAAGGATCTTAAGAACCGTTGGTATTTTCTAGTCACATTCAGTCACAAGTCCTTGGAAATCCTAGAATACGAATGATGTGGAAAGATGTCATCTGAGAAAATGAACATGGCAAGTGTTCCGAAGAATGGAGGAGCATCCACATGTCTGCCCTCTACCCATCTCCACCTGGTTATCCGGTTTTCCTATCAATGGGACCTGCTTCTTGCCGGACCCTGTAGGAGAATGTCAGCGGGGTCTTGACTGACTTGGGCGCTCATAGCCGCCCAGCTTGAAATTTGACCAACATTTTTCAGGTGAACTGGGCACCGCTGCTTCAGTTGTAGATTCTGCCTGTGACTGGACTCAGGTCCATTTTATGGTCTCAGTTTTGGATCTGCTTTCACCGATGCCAACGTCTCAGGTCGGGTGCCGGTGAATCTTGAGATTCGGATGCATCACAAAACTCGCAGCCTCAAAATTGACTGCTTTCCCAACTGAAAAAAGAAGATTTGGATATATTACAGATATATATGATATATATATATGATATAAGTCTAGGGATTGACCCAGTACTCGTGAAGTCATCACTTGAAATGCACAGGTTACCTGCCGTTGGATCTCTATGGCGACGGCCGCAAAGAACTGTTGGTGGCCGAATGGGGTCTCAAAGAATTGAGGCGCGAAAGGAGGGTGCTGTTCTGTTAATTGCCAATGTGGGTATTGGATTAGAACATATTAATTAGAACCTCATTTTCCCTATTCAAAAGGCTATTTGGGGGTATACTGTATGACCCATTTTCAGACACACCCATGTTCATTGCCACAAAAGCCTTGCTAAACAATGTTAAGGCATGTTACACAAGATGCAGTGGTCTACTTGAAAGCTGAAACCAAGAACTTATGATCTCCTGCCAGTTCCACGAAGAAACTTCTTGGTTGGGCTGTCATCGCTGCACAGGTTTTTCGAAACTGCTTGGTGCGAACTGCCAGATGCCTGCAACAGTCGAGGCAAAGAAACCATGCATCTGGGTCCAAAAATGGGGGAGTATCTTCGATTCACGGTGGGGAAGATGATGATCAACCATAAAAAAAATAGGAGTACCCTACTTTCAGACAAACCAATCACCCAGTGGGCTTGAATTTCACTGTCCAACTCGTCCCCAGTTTTGCTGTTGATATCCCCTTTCTGTATGTTTGCAAGACTACTCGTTGCTCTCGCCTTTGTTTGGTGAACGACGCAGTAGATCTGGTAAGAAGCCAGTCATGACAGGTGTTTGCTTGAAGAACAGCGGGAAATGCTCCTGCATGTTGGGCTATGATGGCACGGACTGCTCTCAGTGCACTGAGAGTGCCGCGGAAGCAGCCATGGGGGGTGATGACTGCAATCTGCCGTGTTGTTTCGGCTCGTCTTTTTTGCAAACTGAGAACAGGAAAAAAACATAATAAAAAAAAAAAACATGAAACCTTGGGCGACTTGAAACTGGGGCCACTTTGAGGTTTTTTCACTGACTTCAGTGACAAGTTGAGCGATTACCCGGGCTTTGTTTGCCGTGCTTGCCCTGGCCTCTCAGCGGCGTTGCTCCATGGTGATCAGGGATGGGGTACCATCGCCAGATTTATCATAAATGGGTGGTATAATAAGTATATAGTATAGACATGTATAGACCATCAGCATGTGGGTGGTTTATGACATTGCTTTACTAACATGGTGTATGCGACTTATATGACTAACTATGATGTGTCAGAGCAAAAGATATTGCATGGGAGGTTTGGATTCCAAATACTGTGCGGAGACAATGGCGGGAGATTATTCAAGGGAAGGTTTGCTCCAAGTGTCAATATCTTTTCAACGTTTAAAAATCATCTCAAAGGGCTCATTTTCATCTTCAAGTGAGAACCTGCAAGTCCTCAACACACCTTGGGATGCAACATCAGGAAGGCTGGGAAATGGCACCTGCAGTGGCCGTGGCACTTGCCTCTTGACCCGCAGCCAAGTGCCGTTTTTTTCCCGTGGCATGACAGGCATGACATGGTAATGTTTGGGGAAATGGTGCTCGTCTGCCTGGACCATGATTGCATTGATTGCATTGGCGACGCCCAAAGGCCATCAAAGGCCCATTTGTTGGTCGCAGTGCGCAGCAAATTTGAGGTGAAGACGATGTCATGGTGAAGCAGCTTCAGGCCGAGGAGGCTGGTAACGGCGGGTAACGGTGCGGCTTCAACAGACCAGTGGACGCAATCGCCATAACATGGCATCATGTCTCATGTGACCCTGATTCTTGCAGTGGAGGCATCCTGCCTCCATGACCAAGCTTGTTGATAGGAATTGAGCTGTGCAATCCATCCAAACCTTGGTAAGAAAGGCTAGAAATGGTCCCTTGGTCCTCTGGTACTCTGGTCCCTGGGTCCTGCCGTCTGTGGTGCCCTAAACCAACCTTTCATTCAACCCCAAGCCAAACTCAAACAAGGCCCGAACCAAACATAAATCAGTTCTAAACCAACCCTAAATACACCCTAAGCCAACCTAAATAGACCATGTACAGTAAACCAACTTTCCAAAACCCGAAACCAGCCCCAAACAAACCAACCCTGAATAAACCTTCAACACCAATTCGCAAAAAATAAAAATAGACACTAACCCGACTAACCCCAAATAAACACCAAACCAACCTTGAATGAACTCTGAAAACCAACCCTTGGAAAAACCTAAACTAACCAGACCTAAAGAAACTTAAAACCAGACTAAACAAGCACTAACTTCAATAAACCTTAAACCAGATCTAGATAAACAGTAAGCTACCCCTAATAAAGCCCAAACCAGCCAGAAATCAATTCTAAATCAACCTTCAAACCTACCCCAAATGAACCCTAAACAAACCAGAAATAAATCCTAAACCAGACTGAATTAGAACTTAAACCAAACCTAAATAAACCCTAAATCAATTCTGAATAATTTTAAGCCAACCATGGAAAATGAGAGGTTCGAACGCTAAAATGCTGCAAATACCATGCAAGCGCAAGCTTTAAGGTCTCAAAATGCTACCATGCAAAGGAACGTTTCTAGTCGCAAAATGCTACTATCGATGGAAATGATTGCTTTCCAGCTCCAATGTGCTGCAAAACCCCTATGGGCGAGAGGTTCCAGTTCAAAACGCTGCATATACCACAGAAATGTTTGGTTTCAAATCCAAATCGCTAAGGCCATAAATATGAGAGGTTCATAGAGGTTCCAATTTCTTTTGCCTCAAATATTCATAAATATTCTTGTTCTGTTTTTTTTTGATCCCTCACACTTTCAGATGGGTCGTCCTGGGCGACGCCTGCGAGGCACCCGAGATGTCGAAGTTGCAGACTGCCTTCCTCCGTGGTGAGGGCACCTGCACTTGCAGTGAACACTTCAATGGAACCAACTGCGAAACAGGCCACTGAGCTGTGCCAGGTCTGAGAATTGGGTATAGCCCCAAAAAATCCAATGCTACAAACCAGGGAAGTTTTGAAGTACGCAATTTTCGGACAAAACCCAGCTCAGGAAGTAAACCCTCGAAACATGGAGAAAGGAAAACGACCGGAGTGGGATGATATGTAACAATCATTGTTCATCTCTGTATCATTATACTGACAAATTCTACACATTAGCACTAGTCACTATTCCGCATGCAAATACACTCAAACTCAGCACAAACAGTTTCATTGGCACGGCAATAAATACTGTAATCTGTCAAAATCTGTATATACTCCACGAATCCATGGAAACTGATGTGTCCACAGCTATCCTGAAATATGCTCGTTTGGTGCACATCGATCCGCTGCACAGGCAAATGCCCCGCTGGGACGGAGTATGCCGAACATTCCATCATCGCACATTGTGAGCAGTGCAGCTTGGATTCCCTTGGTGGCTGAAGGGAGATGAACGGAGTGAGACCATCCGTTCATTGAGAGTGACATGCGACATGAACTGTGACATCAAGTCAGGGTGAGTTTCTTCCACCAACCGCAGTGCGGACGCATGCTAAGGCAAACCCGGACAGTACAAATCTGAAAGCGACAATACAGCGCGCTGCAGCTGCCTGGCTTCTGCTGGGGCAACTTTTGAGAATAGGAACGCCAATTTCCCATGGTTGATCATCCTGTTCCCATTCAAATTGCCATTTTGGAGTATCTCCGTAGCTCCCCATTCGGTATCTCCCATGGCATCATTGGATCAGAATGAAGCGCTTTTGGCGGGCCAGCGAATTGAGGAATGTGTCCCCAACATCACTACGCACCATCATCAGGAACAGCAGTTTGTCAAGAATGCAGCTCGGCACAGATTGGGGGATGAGCTTTGAAAAGGTCAGATGCTGTTTTTGCGTGACAAAGTTGAGGTCTTGGCTCCCTTTTTATCTATTCCGTGGACAAGGATTGGGGTGGTAGGGTATGGGCATGGTAGGGATGGTTGACACATGTGCCATGATCAAAATTTTGATTACACGCCCATACCGGGGATGATCATCAATCTATTAATAGGGATTATTTAATAATATATAATATAAATATGATTCCAAATTTACAAATGTTTATAAATATTTGGGATTAATACATACATGTATATATATATATATATGTATATCTATATATATATATATGTATGTATATATCTATATATATATATGTATGTATATGTATATGTATATGTATATACACATATACATGTTCCAAGGATTCCCGTTGTGGGATGACCACAAATCACTCGTCGCCAGGAACACACGGATTGCCGCATGGATGTCACCGCCAGTTTGCCAGTGCTGCTTGGCCAAGCGAAATAAAAACAGACGCCACGGCAAAAAATGCAGCGCGGCACTTCTTTCATCCAAAATTGATCAAAATTGCCAATTGGATCTCCAAGACTCATGGATTTTTCAAGGCTGGTCGCAGTTCGGCAGGTTGTTGGGAATTATTTGTTGGGCATTGACCTTCTACTTTGCACCCATGGTCTTCGGCTTGCCGATCGTTATCGCTGATATCTCCTTGGGACCATATTTGCCCAGTGAGAAGCGAAAGGAAGAAGGAGACCTGCACCTCTTTGATGAGCAGAAGCTGACAATAAATAAAAGGGACCACTACGTTCACTCAACTGTCCAAGCAAAAGAAATTAAGCAGGAAAGATGTGCAAATAAGATTCCTCAATAAGAATGGATCTACTGTTGATTTGCATTTGTTTGTCTGAAAGTGCTGAGAAAACTCCGAAATTCAATGAAATTGGTATTTGTACGTATTTGTACCGTGTCATACCAATATCATCCCAATATCATACCAACATCATACCATATCATTCAATATTAGCATATTAAATCATATTAATGCCATTCTTACACCATATTTGTTCATCATGTTGAATCGTTCATTTGCCCTTCAGGAGCAGCAAAATCTTGCTGCAAGCTGCGTAGAACTCCTGCGCGCTTTGCGGAGGAAGGCCTATCCTTGGGGTCATGGGGAAAATACGGATGGATTTAATGGGGGATAGATATTCTATTATTTAGATAGATATATATTATTATATACACATTATTATATTATATTATATTATTTATTTATTTATATATATATATATATATCAACTAGCAAAACTTGGGGGATTTCAATAGGAAACATATATATATATATTAATATATATAGGTGATGTACTATAGGAATGAATTGCATATTTTGTGAGTAACTAAGACTAACCAAGTGTAATTTCATGGTTTATTGGGATATGAATAGGATGTGTTGCAGAAACAAGCAAAATCCAGTGGTTTCCAAAATGATTCCCCCCCATAGAATTGCACACTTCGGGGTCTGTACCCTATCTTTGGACAGAATCCCGCATGGAGATGAATGTCCATTGAGATCATAGTGATGCCATGAGATGTCCATATTCGGGCTACCAGTAGGAAGGATGCCCGATTACATCCAGAAGAACGTATGTGGTAAACCCAAAGAAACATCCCCAAGTCACCATTTTATGGGTGCTTTATATAAACCATCCCAAATGGATCCCATTTTTGTAGGTCGGCGTTGGGTTTCCCACTTTTTCAGAGGCCTCCCGTTTCATCGTTGCCCAGGCGAAAATTTGCAATGCGTCAAGGTGAAGTCTCATGGAAACCACAACCTCCTCAGGCGCCCAATCTATCTGTAGGATCTGTACTGTAGGTGGTCAATGTGACAATCAATGTTAAGCCATGTTAAGCCATGTTAAGCAATGTTGTAGGTGATATCTCTACAGTGTTCTACGACTTTTCCCATTGTAGATAAACGATTGAAGCTACAGGCCGGGCAAAGATGTTAAAAAACTACGTGTTTCGGATCGCAGTTTTTTTTCATATGATCAATCCCCTGGATCGCTGGAGAAAACTGAGGGGACAACGTGCCACCATCTACTTCCGTGGCACGGGTGACCCGCGATTGGACACTAAGCCACTCGGCGCTGTTGGCAGTTTTGAGAGGGCATCCTGTCCCACAACCATTGGGTTTTGTCTAAAAATATTTGAGATTTTATGAGATAAAGTACTAAGGTACTCCAAAGAATCCACTGCTTGATCATTTCCTCAAAGGGCAAGTTCGTTTGGGGGAAGTTGACCACCAACCAGATTCGGACACCTCCTTATCTCCCACCAGTGGATTCTGGCTGTTTCTTCAAACTCCGCAGCTGAATGCAGCTTAAGGATTTGGGATATCTCTGATGTGCGCTATTTGAACAATTTGTCCAGCATCCAAATATAGTCACATCGGGTCCCAAAAGCACTGGGCCCTTGGTGGTTCCATTGAGTTCTAGTGTTCCCCGACAATCACTTGTGGCTTCACGGAGCCACAAGGCGCTTTGACTTCAAGGTGGAGGGCTTGACGCATCACGAGCTGCTTCTGCTGAACCTGGAGCGATGGGTTTGTTCCATGAAGAAATTTCAGCAGGATGCCATAGGATACCTAGTTTTCACAGTGGTTTCCATCGTCAATGGTGTTGCAAACAACCGTCATCCTTTTGGATACCAATCCACACGCCAGAACACTGCGCAGGACGGCACACCTGTGAGCATCAACCATGACTCTTCCACTGGGCATTTGCAGGCTGGGCAAGTCGTGGATTTGGTGGATTTGATGCTGAATTTTGTGCCGTTTGTCGAAGGGTCGTCGCACCGCACTTGGTTCAGGTGAAGTACCAGCATGCCATGCTGCGCATGGGGCCTCTTGGTGCAGCATTTGCAAAAGGGGTGACAGATGTGATGCAAACATCAGTGACATCAGAGTTGGCAATCCCAGAATTGGACATTTACAGGCTTTACTGGATATCCCCCATGTCTGATCATGTTTGGAGATTAAAAAAAACGAATTTCATACGTAGAATTTCAAATTTCAACCGTAACACTTCCCCAGAAAATCAATCCATTGACACTGAGGATGTTTGGCTTACCATTCATCGTTTGGACCTTGCTTCCCATCGGTGCCTATGCAGGCGCAGCTTGCAGGAAGATTTTTCTTGGCATACACGGACCTGATAATATGGGTATGGTATGGGCCATATGGGTCAAACATGAATGCCCATGGCCTGACAAAATTTGTGTATAGGATTAGCCAAGATTAAACAAGATTAAACAATCCATTTGGGGGATCAATAGCTTTGACCCGTACTCATAGGACTTCATGTCGCTGCTCCGAGCAATACGAAGCCGCCGCATGCTGTCACCTCTGCCGAAATTATCCTGAGATCTCTTAAGTCATGCCTTAAATATCTTAAATGCAGAACAGCCAGGCAGCTAAGCAGGTCCGTAGTGGGCTTCTGATGCTAGATGTCAATAACCCACTTTCAGTTTGCATCTCGGCTCCGCGGCAGCTTTGCTGGCGTACTTGAACAGCAGTGCCGTGAAGTTTCTTCCAAGCACCAGCGCCTCGGTCGGTGAGGGGTCCGAGAAAGCCAGGACCATTGATGATCACTAGTCACTAGCCCAGGTAGCCTTCATGTGGCCATCGGTTGCCTCGTCTCCGTGATAGTGCACAGCTTCCGCTACAAGAATTTGGCACGGACGCGTCTGAAGAAGGTGCTGCCATGGGAAGGGGTGTGCCCACCAAGTTACCTCCACTGTGCCTCGCCTTGGCGTTTTTTATGGGTGTGGATCCAAATGTCGGGCCCCAGGCTACTCATGTTGGTTATTTCTAGTAATGAACCGTCCAAGAAATATTGGGGTGCCCGATTTTGACCGAGTTCCAGCAGTTTCAGCGCCAATTCTCAGTGGAACCTATGAGCAATGGGGAAACCATCACATCTTGCAATGCATAGCCATCATCCATGCTTGATGCAGGACATCAGACACTTCATCCAGAGGTTGAAGCAAAAGAATCCAAATCCAGCATCTTGGCAGCCATTACCCTTCATAACTGTAGGTTAGTTGGGTAGGGGCTTTATGAGGTGTGAAAGTGTTGATACCTTTTGGGCCTTCATGCCAGTTGGAATAGAGTGAAAAGAGTGCTGCAGAAGGGTTCGCACTTTCTATTTGTAAATAGTCTTCGCCTACGAAAAAAAAATACTGTAGGTGTTTCTTGCCTCTTAAACTTCAATTTCGCAGTGGTTCAAGAACATGCAATTTCACGTTCAAAAGTCATCAACAGTTCATAAGTCTCATTACTGTCGTATACTATCGTTATCATTATCAGATACCATTGTTAGTATTATCATTATCCCTATAGATTATCCATGGTTCCTATGGGATATTCCCCCACTGTGACGTGTCCAACAACTTGTGGCCTGAGACTCGTTGCGGCCGCGGGCCGTCCAGGGCCATCACTGCAGGCGAAAATTGCGGCGGTTTCGGTGGGGATTTGACTGGATTTCGGTGGGGATTTAACCAGCAAACATGGTGATATAATATGATATAATGGGTAAACATGGGGATTTTCTGTCATGTATGATTTGGGTATGATTGGGTGGCCCAAGTTCTGGCCATGTTGATCAACCAGTGGATGGGTAGCCCTTCCAGGACAGCTGAAGGAGTTTGACTACTACTTCCATGGCTATCATGGGTCACACCGTACCATGTATCTGGGCTGGAGATAGCTGGAGCATTTGCTGATTCGACAGTCGGAATGTGACTAGCCACTAGCCATTGGTTGAGAATCAGATGCCACTGCAGGAGATCGATTCAGATGTTGCTCCGGTGCACGCTTCGGCCAAATCGATTTCCAGGATCAAGCCAACCAAACCTTATCTCTGCCAAGGAACTAGCCAATCCCAAACAAACCAAAATTTGAGGTACGGTACACATGTTGATTCACAGAAGATGCCAGTAAACAACTTATATCTGAATCGACTCTCAATGCTGAACAGGAAGCCTTGGACGATCAAACCAAGCCATGGATGGTAGGGAAACTGACCATTGAAGCAAGTCTATCTGGCCTCGCACATACCCTAGGTATCCCTAGGTAATTTGATGTGCTCAAGCCTTTTCAGCAGCCTTTGAAGCAAATGTCAAACAGACCTCAATGTTGAAGTATGAGGTTAGCCTTGAACAATTCTGCAATCAGTGTTTTTGGAACAACCAACCGAAAGTGCGGTGGAAAAGGTCCCCTGCCCCAGCCTTGTTGAGTATAAGCTTCTGGGTACATAATCTTGACACCCAAAGAAGGAAAGCACGGCTTGTGGATATTGTAGTTTGCCGGGTTGTCATAGCATGTCATAGCCACATATTACATCATATTACATCATATTGCCACATATTTTGAGCCAACTTGAGGTATTACGTGTGCCACAACATCATCTTGCAACTGACTCACCCCTTCAAGCTCTCCTATGCGGAGTTGGCTGGTCCATCTTTGGTGACCTGGTTCGTCTCGCACTACTGGGGGACCGACATGCGTTGGTAGTGCCTGAGAGTGCCTGAGAAAACCTGTGGACTGCAAGTATGGATACATATGGTATCATGGGAGTCGTTGTGATGTATAGATCTTCAGTATCTTACACGCTGATTCTGCTGCAATGCTTGGTTGTCAAGTTGAAATCCTGGACGAGTTGGTGTAGTGCCCAATTTAAATCCTGTTCCAGGACATCGTTCCGTCACTTTGTGGACACAGTGAGTAGAGCTCTCAGTTCCCAGTGCCATTTTTTGGCTACGGCGAACTACAACCACAGACATACAACAACATCTACTGGGTTTATCTGAAAACAGAGAATACCACCCCAAATAGCTGTTTTAATGGGCTGTATATTGAGTCGCCCTATTTTCGGACAAACCCAACTCTAGTCCTACGGCATTATCTTCACCGTGGATGTTGGCGAGGCAAACACAGCGAAGAAAATCCTTTCCCAGGACGCCACGCAGGTGATAAGCAGGGACTGACATCTTTGCACTGCTGATGGGTGATATTACAGTGATATTTGCTGTTTCGATTGTTTCGGATGGTTGAATGCTGAAAGTAATCAATTTTGCCTACTCAATTGATGCTCCATTTCCAAGCTATAATGATGTGTGATGTTTCAGTGCAGATGCAGGACGCAAACCTTCTCAGCAGTGACCAGATTGCATTTGGGTTGGGGGAAATCTAGGGTCAGGCATGACGTTGGATTGGGGACGGGCGACTTGGTGCCCTCACGACCTTGCCTAGGCCGTATTGGATTTGCAGCTTCAGCAACAATCAGTGGGCAGTCGAAGAGGCAAGAGATTTACAAGAGATTTCCAGTGACACAGAGCACAGTAATCATCGCAGCCTTCCAATGATGGACCTTAACACAAAGAAATTAGTGATGTCATAGTGTGACATGGTAGCTTCCTAGCTATATCATGCTATCATGCTATATCTAGCTATTCAGTATCGGTGAATTGAAGTCTGGAGCCCCTTCCGATAGCGAGAAGTGCAGTTGGCCGCAGGAAGTTGGTAAAAATTGGGACGAGTCCTCCTTCTACCTGGCAATGAGAAGCGATGCCTGCAACTTGATGGCAGACGCCCTGTGTCAGATCGCTACAGGATCAAAAGTGCCTTCGTTTACCAATCGAAACAGACGAATACTTTATCATACTTTATCCATTGAATCCAATTCCCGTTCGTAGTTCATCAATTGCATCATAGTCAGATGTGCCATGATCAAAAGTTGGACTATCTGACTATCTGTATGTTAATTGGGGGATGGTCATCAAATCATTGGGAATTTCCCCATTGATTCCGGCCCGTCCTCCTGGGCGAGGCAAAGGAACTGTGATGGTTTTCGATGAGGACGCGCTTCCATTGACACGATCTTGGCACCTTGGACTTACCAGGGACTTGATGGGGGAGTGGTAGGGCTCCAAATGGTGGTTTCAAATGGTTTCAATGTGTTTCAATGTATACTTAGATAGTATGTTAATATATTATGTTATATATATATATGTATATTTGGAGTATGATATGGTATTGTGAGGTATGATGATGAGTTCTGATGTTTTGTATTTGTTGATGTTTCAATTCCATACCAACACGTGGTCGCAGGTGTTTGTTCGAGCTGCTGCAGACACATCATTTCAGCAACCTGGCTGCATGAGAGGCGCATTAATGTTACTCCTCGCCGGGCTATGGTTTTCCATACTGCAATAGCTCTTAGTGTGAATGAACAGAATGAGGCTTGAGCTTGAAGGAGTTTTATTCCGTTTCAGTCCGGCTAGCAAAAGAGATCAAACATGATCAAACAAGGGAGTTTCAAGACAGTTTCAAACAGTTTCATTTTGCGATCTGCAGTTGGTCTCAGCCAACTCTGGTCCGCCCAGAACACACTCGGGAAGACTTTGCCGGTTTGATGCTTTGTTCTTCGCCGCTTGGCAGCAGTTTTGTCAGGGACTGGAGCCTTTTAGCCATGAGTGCTAAGCGTCGCTTAGCATTTTTTTTGCGAAAAGCGGCTTCGGTGGCTTTGGGTTGGTCACTGCATGGAATATCATGTATATATATATCCATCCGTAGATTCAACTTAGGATCACAATTTGTTTCGTTGTGGGAGTTCGTAGTAGATCCATAGCACTAGATATGCCTCTGGGTAAGCTGTGGTTTGTGTCAAATATATGTGTGCCAATCTCAGCCATGTTACGTTTGGCGGTTTGCGTTCAAATCATGTTTGGACCCACTGATCCTGCAAATAGGGGCCTCCAGTTCAAGACAAATTCCACACTCAGTCTAGCATTCACATACAATGTCCATATCTATATCTATATCTATCTATAGAATTCTTTAGATATGTATATAATTGCATACATACACCATACAATCATGTATATACTGTATATTATATGTGCGTGCTTATACTGAGAGAACAGCTCCATGATCCATGCGAAGTACTAAGGAACGGCGTGATGAATCGAGGCAACGGGTCTTTCGACCTGGCCATCAAAGTGAGTCACAAGTTGGCAACCTTGGATTTGCGCGACGCAAATGCAAGCAAGGCGCGGTTGGCCAACTATGTGATATATATATAATTATATATACTTGTATAGAGAACTGTAGTTATAAGATATATTGTAGCTTTAAAATATGATTGCGGTTATATGATCTTATAACCTTATCCCAGACATGTCCAGGTTAGTTGGTTATAGCTGTGATTGGTAAAAGTATGGTTATAAACCATCTAATCGTCATGAGTCATGGTTTGGGTATGGCTGAAGATAAAACACACCATTAAACGAGTGAATAGACCCGGAAGACAGAAACTGTGGGTCCATTGGTGCCTCATGCTTGAGCCATCGCCAATTGTGGATCCCTGTCGGGGTGGGGAAAAAGACGAAGTGCCAGGAGTCTGACAAACTGATGATTGAGGAACTTGCAGCTTGCTTGCGAGCGGTCATTATCAGCAGCATGTGTCAGGGAGGACCCAGCAATACGGCCATGAAAATCCGGATTTTGCGCCGTTTTGTTTTCACATGAAAACAGCTGCTTGTTCTCGATGCTCATCCCCTGTTCATTTACCCCTGTACTGTTTTCTTGCTTATTATATAAATCAAAATCCATGCGGTGCTGTAGCTCCCCATTCATCTACGACAATCACAAGTGACCCATTCTCCACTTTGAGTTTGTCTCAAATGTGGGGGCAAGAATTTTCTATAACACCGTAATAGTAATCATACATCAAGTCATGGTATGTCTAAAGTTTATTTATACCGTTTATACCTGTTGGTTTCGCCATTTTTAATGGGGAAAGTGGCGTTTGGCTTCGGAACCGGGTTCACGCCCAGGTACGCCGTCAGGCGGGCTTCAAGAACGTCCGGACCTTTCTAACCAACGCCGTGGAGGAGGCCCGCTGAAAGACCAGGCGTTTGCAGTTCTTTACGTAAGATTATGGAAAATATCTAGCGATTCGTAGCTACTTAAAGCTATAAGCTACAAAAGTTATTCTCTGAAGATTTCAGTGGAGGATTGATACTTGGATGACATATCTGTAACTTGCCCTGTCTGATGTTCAGCTGGGCTTTTATCCGCTCTGACAAACATCAATGCGCAGGTCCTACTTGCAACGCGTTCGCGCTTCCAGGCAGGTATCCGTCGCCGGCATGATGCTGCCTGATGTGCTTTGACCAATAGCGTTCATTGACCGGAAAAGTTCTTAAATCCAAGCAAGTCTCATTAAATCCTTATCTCAAAATTCTTCTAAATTCTTTTTAAACACCTTGTTAAATTCCATTGTGGCTCATTATACTCCAATAGAAACCGCTCTACTTGTCTCATTTCGTCAGGACAAAATGACCGAGCTCCAGTCCTCGTTGGCGCTGACACAGAGCGAGTCGCCCACGCATCTTGGATCGGGAACGTCAAATCTTTCATTATTTTAGATTATATTCCCATTAACACAAACACCTCCATTTATAGTGGATTTCCCATATTTTTCAATTATTGTTCGGTTTGCTTAGCGGCACAGGGTTGGAGTTCAGTAACCACAAGAGGGGCAGCTGCAAGGATTTGAGGGATGGTTGATAACATCTGATGGCTTAACTTAGGACCAAACTACAGGCAGCCCATTGAAACATGACAGCATGTGATGGTAAAGGAGTGATGCCGCCGGCAATTGCAACTATGAATTGTGGAGACGTCCCATGAAATCTGAAATCACGAGTTGTCGGCTAAATCTCGAGCTGTGTTGGTCAATGGAAACTAAAATGTGGATCCTGTTTCACTCGTCCGAATGAGGCGCAAGAAGGTTCCTGAGCCAATGCCCAGTCAAGTGCGGGAGCTTGGAGCTAATTGTATCTAATTGTGCTGGTGCGAGATTTCACCCCAAAAATCAGCTGTAAAGTAGTGATATGTCCGTCATATTGCGATCTATCTCTATATCATCCTATATCTCTATATTTAATTGCCTTCGGCAAGCCCGCCGGCCAGAGAGAGGTGGCCCCAAGAGAGTTTGATGTGCACTCTAGGTGGTTGACCGTATGCCAAATGAGTACTGCCAGCAGCAAAGTAGCACCAGGTACATACTATGTATGAGCCTCTTGCTTGGCAGCAGACCGCTGCATGGAAGGGGACAGGGTGGAAGCGGAGAGAGGTTGCCCAAGGGAGGTTGATGTGCATGCTGAGTGGAAGCCTGAGAGAGAAGCATAAGAGAAGAAGAAGAAGAATAAGAAGAAGAAGAAGGACAACACCTTCCAATCAGACACGCCGGCAGGCCAGCGGATTTCTCTCTGTCTATGCCATAAACCTACGTACTATTTGGGGATGATATTTCCTATCCATTTATGGCAATATTGGGGAGAGTTTATGGAATTGGGTCTACCTCATTTTAAGGAGGTGTCTTAAGTCATGGTGGTACCCCAAATGTATTGAAACAACCATGGTGACGGCTGGGAATCGCAACAGGTGACGGATCCCGACAAGGAGAAGCGACCCGCGCTGCTGGGCTCCTTCCGTAAG